GAATTCACTTAAGTGAGTAAAAACTTGTTTGCATATTTTTATTTTTTTACTTCTCGGGATGGTCAACAGTTAACCCAAATGGCTTACACTGGAAGTTAGTCCATTGCTTCTTTATAGAATTGTTTCTCAGGAAAGACTCCTTGATTTTATTAGTAAATCAAAAGAAGACAACGACAAAGTTGAAGAAGACACAGTGCATAGTTTCATGTTCTATTTCTGGAGCACTGTTGAGATTTTAAATGAACACTTGCTAGAAATGATAGGGCCTTGGTGAATACATTCACCATTTTGACGTTCAGTAGAGCTATGCTTCACCCACAGTATTTCTTTCCTTAGTGATCACTAGTGGCATGCAAAAGTTGTCTTCTTCAAACAGAATCAGTCCTTCCTAGGCTGAGTATGGTGGCACACATCTGCAATTCCAGCACTCTGTAAAGCTGACAGAGGAGAATCTCAAGTTTGAGCCTACCCTAAGCAACTTAGCAATTTAAGACCCCGTCTTAAAATAAAAAATGAAAAAGGTTGGAGGTATAGCTTAGCACAAAGATTTAATTCTCAGTACCACTATAATAATAATGATGATGATGATGATAATCCTTCCTAGAACATTGTTTTTCTTGGCTTTACCAACATACATTTACTCACAACTTTCCTAATTTTGGTTATCTTTGCTGAGATGCATTTTTTACCCACAGTTAGTAGCAGTAATACTAAGCTATTATTTCATGTGGCTATATAGTGTTTATTTAATATTGCTGGGCAATTTAGCATTTAAGATATGTTAATCATTTTAAGTTAAATTTTAAATGTCAAACTAGATTTTATTCTAATCCTTAAAATTGCAACTTTCTATCATTTTGTCTTCTTAAAAATATAGTAATTGGGAGAGTTCAAGAGTGTTAAATTTAAACTCTCTCACTACCACTTCCTAGCTATATCTTTGTGAATCTTGAAGTCTGTTTATTCATCTATGAATAGAGCTAAATACCTACTTCTGTAGCATTATTATGAGGATTAGAAATGTCATGCACAAAAAAACAAAAATTAAAACAAAACAAAAAGCTGGGGATAGTGGCACACATCTGTAATCTCAGCCTTTGGGAGGCTGAGGCAGAGGGACTGCCATGAGTCTGAGGCCACTCTGGACTATATAGTGAGTTCAAGGCCAGTCTGAACTACATCATGAGATGCTTTCACAAAAAAAACTCAAACACCATAAAAAGAAACATCATATACAAAGGCATGACTGAGCACACTACCAGGGATGGAATAGGTGATACTATAGTACAGTATTTGTTCTGGATAATTTGAAGAACACGAGGTTAGTGATATATGTAGGGCAACCACCCTCCCCCAGCAATAACTCTAGATGCTGCCCTTTCTTTTATAGGTCTTTTTAAAAAAGTAATCTTTATCCTTTTTCTTGCTTTTTAGGCAGTAGGCTGCCACTGAGGCTGATTCTAAGAGTGGCTTTTACTTCCTATCTTGCCTACTTTACAATTTGCTGCTTCTGATGTTAGATACTAGAAATCAAATGACCAAATTGTCAGTGTCTAAATTAAGAATAAAAAAGGTTGAGCAGGAGGCTAAGTGATTCTCTTTAGGGGAAAATATACAGATCCTATCAGACTATCAAAATACAATCTGACAGCTGATCTTAGATGATTTAAGTCAGTGATGTCTTTTAGAGACCAAGACGAGTATCCAAACTGCAACCCAAAACCCATTTATTTATCACAAAGTGCCCAAACTGCAATTAAACCTGAATATGAGGTTTTAGTTTAAAAAAACAGCTCGTATAGTAACATCTTTTGTCTTAACAGAAAAACAAATAACATGCATGCCATAGGTTTACAACCACTGACGTTAAGTTATTTTCATGGTCTTGGACACATTACATATAACCAAGAGAACCAAATAAATGGAAAAGCGAGCTATTACTATACCATTTAGATAGAAAACTTGCAATTCAGAGTTAATAATGTGACACTGGAGGGCTGTATCTTAAGAATATATTAGGAACTAGAAGAAAAAAATTTTTTTCTCCAGGGCCAGGGATTTAGCTCAGTGGTGCCACCACCTTGCAAGCATAAGGTCCTCAGTTTGATCCCCAAAACCACAAAACAAAACAAAAACATTTATCCATTATTCTTATTGGAAAAACCTTGTAGTTCCAGTTTAACAGTCAAGGTGGTTAGAGAATTAACATGTATTGAGCATCTACTATGTGGTAGGACTCCTGCACACATTATTTCAATGCTTAAACTGCTCTGAGAAGAATTATAATATAATATCCATTTATAGTGATGTTTAAAAAGGCTAAAGTAACTTACTAAAGCTGAAAAATGCCAGAAACAGAATTTAAACTACAAAGTGTGACTGAAAAATATAATATTTAATTTAAAAAATTTAAAAAAATTACAGTAAACACCTTATTGTCATTGTCTCCTCAAAATACTCCTCACTTGAAACATACTTATGCCATCATACTTTGCACTGTTTTTAAAAGACAGGGTCTCGCTATGTAGGCTGGCCTCAAACTCATGGTGATCTTCCTGCCTCAGCCTCCCTAGTGCTGGGATTATAGGCATGCACCACTAGGCCTGGCATTCTATGCACTTTCTGAGGTAGTCCTGGAAGTCTTCTTTTGTGAGGCTTTGGTTGTACTGTCATGGCTATCTCAATCCAAAACATTGTCCTTTCATAGATATTTTGATCTCTGGGAAGAGTCAGAAGTTGCATGGTGACAGATCCAGTGACTAAAATGGATAAGAACATAACACTATAATGATTTTACAAGCCTGCCTTTCCACTGGATAGTGTTTAACAACAGCATTTACCAAATTTTGATCACACCTCATAAAGATGCTCATGAAAGAGGTCCAGAATTGTTTTAGAAAAGGGCCGGGATTTAGCTCAATGGCACTGTGCCTGCCTTGCAAGTCCTGAGTTCAATCCCCAGTACCAAAAACAAAAACAGAACTGTTTCATGAAGCAAGAAGAACGATGAGATAAGAGTATCTGAAGCAATAGAGAGTATTTTCAGGGGGATTAGTGACAATTTATCTTGTAATATAATAAGTTTAATATCAACATTCACCATACATTTTGATCATAGTGCATAAGTTTTGATCTATTTCAAAGCTAAATGTTCTTAAACTTTAAGGTCACTTGTATCTGACCTCCCTTTTGCTACTTTTGCTACTTACTACTTCAACACCAAAAATAAACAATAAGAAAGTGAAAAGAATACCATTCATAATCACAGCTATATATATTAAGTACTTAGGAATTATTTAAATTGTATGCTTCTATGAAAGAAAAAGGGATTCTAATACATAAAGGAAAAGACCTGAATAAATGCAAGAGGTAAACTATGATGTTTGGATGGGAATATGTACCATCATAAAGATGTCAACATTCCCCAAATTAATCTATAAATTGAATGCAATGTCAAAAAAGCCAACAATATTTTGCTGAAACTGAATTGATTCTAAATTACAAATAAAAGTCCAGGGCGGGGGATTTTAGTTCAGTGGTGCCACCACTTGCCTCATAAGCACAAGGTCCTGTGATTGATCCCCGGTACCAAAATTAAAAATAAATAAGATAAGGTCCATGAGTTGCAAGAATAGCTAGAGCAATTCTGAAACAAGAAGGATGTAGATTTGCCCTACCTAATATTAAGGCAAATTATAAACCCTTAATAATTAAAACCATGACTATAATCGTAAATAAGATCCTAATGGCATAATTGACAATGTGAAATAGGAAGAAAAGGACTAAAAGTGTAGGGGAAGTGGGAAGGGTAGGGGAAGGGGAATAAGGGAAAAGAAAAAAATATGAGAAAATGAAAGAAAAAATGGAAACAAAATCTTTGTAAATAGGGAAGGGAGGAGGAGGTGAAGGGAGGGCAGGGACAAGGGGAAAAAATGAGAACCAAGACCTGTCATGTAAAGGTACAAGATCCCAGTGATAAATGTAACTGTGTTTTTATTGTATACCTAAAATGTACCAATAAACTCATGACAAAAAATAATTAAAACAATGAGACATTGATTAGGGATCAAATAGCAAACAGAATCCAGGAATAGATTTATGTATATATAGGAACTTGGTACACAGGAAGATGATAATACAAATCAGTGGACAAAGAAGGTATCATTTACTTAACAAGTGGAAGTAGGAAACATTTATTAGAGAAAATAAAATGAGATCCTTTTTCTCAGCATGCACAGAATAAATATTCCAATGACATTACTTCCTGACATGGATGACATTATAAAATTATAAGAAAATGTAGAAACATATCTATGATCCAGGGATAGGGGCGAATTTATATAAAAAGACCCCAAAGTACATATCATAAAAAATTAATTGGTTTGACAAAATAAAAATAAACCCCAGTACTGAAAAAAATAAGAAAAGCTATTTCTAGCTGGGCCCAGTGGCCCTTGTCTGTAGTTCCAGTTACTCAGGAGCTGAGGCAGAAGGACTGCTTGCCTGTGCAACTTAGTGAGACTCTCAAAATAAAATTAAAAGGGCTGGGGATGTAACTCAGTGGTACACAGCTTGTGTAGTACATGTAAGGCTCTGGGTTCAATCCCTAGTACTGCAAAAACAAAACAAACAAAAAACAAACCCAAGCAACAACCCAAAATTATAGAACTGTGCAGGAATATACATAGGTCTAAATAAATATATGGAAGACGGCTTAAAAAGGCACACATGAAATATCCAAGAGTGGATGACTAGATGTGGAAAGGAGAGAAGGAAACTGGATTGAGGACTGAATAGGACAAAAGCAAATGAAGTGTCATGCGTGGACCGATGACAAAGGACAATAAACTGAGGAGATATCCCAACAATCATTTGCAATGTTTCTGAGGTCTAAAATCACCCCTTCCTGAAATACCATAAAAACACCTGCTTAAAGTAAATGTCAAAAAAGTAAAAGATATAGGAACTAGAAGTGGTCATCACCCTGTCACATGGCTTACCGGAGTACACAGCACATAAGCAGCAGATGGGTAGGGACATTAGCTGGATTCAGCATACTGGGTGTGTCTGACTTCATACATGCCAGGAAAGCCCGCATCCTTCTGTTCTTGTCCTCAACTGCTTTCCCCAGCCAGAGCTTCTTGAGGTTTGGGCAAGTCCATTCCCGAAATGTCAATGCAGACACGAGCTCAGGAGTTTGAGGTGACTTCCCTTTATAGGCAGACCACTCTTTAAGAATCACTGAAGGAACTAGAAAACAGAAATTGAGGAAAAAGAGACTGTAGAGCACCTGAGCATTCTAAAGCTAGCTACTACTAATGGGATCTATCACATTTCAATATCTTTTAATTTTTGTTACTATAATTTTATCATTAGCAATCTTAACATCAGTAGTAAGCATCTGTTCAGTGCTGGAATATACTAAGTATTTTCCACATATTATCTCATTTAATTTTTTAAAAAAACTGTGAGAGGGACCTATTATGACATTATTACAAAACCAAGTTTTTCAGAAAAAGAAATCAAAGTCCAATATTACACAATCAGTAATTACATTGAATTTAAGAAGATATACCAGGATATACAAAGAAAGAAGTCTAAGGAAGAATTATGTGACTATTTGGTCTCATAATAGATGAAGGAATTACACAAAATCCTCAAAACCAACATGTTTGTCATGGTTGATGCATACTTATAATCTCAGTTACTCAAGAGGCTGAGGCAGGAGGATCACTTGAGCCCAGGAATTCTGGGCCAGCCCAAGCAATATAGCTATGCTTTGTCTCAAAAAAAATCATCATAATAAACACCACCACTTAAAAAAATCCAAGATTTTTTAGATTTACAAAGATAACAGACCAGAAAAACATGGCTTCTCTCCATGGCTCAGGCTCCTAAACTATGATGGATTGAACTTTTAAAAGAATAAACTAGATCCCCAGTCCCTTTCTCCATTTAAATTTTGAGAGAAGGCCTCACTAAATTGGCCAGGCTAGCCTCAAACTTATTATCCTCTCAAGTACCTTTTGGTCTCTTTTATTTCAGATGCCTATTATCTACTCAAACTAGAGATTTAGTAGTTATCTTTAGGAGAAAGATCCCCCCAAACACCTGTTTTTACTGAGGTCCTACTGATTCTAATCCCATCTCCCTTCCAACTGTCTCTTCTCCAAAACAACAAATACTGTAATAGTTCAGACAACACTTTTCACCTGCCAGGGGTCTCCAGGCTATTCCTACTCTTATCCTGTCTGATCTTTCTCACACCCATGCTCTACAACCATCAGAGTGCTTTTTAAATAAAATTTTTTGGAGTGCTGGGGGAGCAAAATTCAGAGCTTATGCATGTTTGGTTGAATGCTCTAACACTAAGCTACACCCCAGTCCCAGAGTGCTCTTTTTTCTGTTTTTATCTGGGGGGGGTAGGGGGGTGGGGGGAATTGAACTTGGGACCTTGTGCTTGTGAGGCAGGCAGTGGAACCACTGATCTAAATCCCTGGCCCTCTGGAGTGCTCTTTTGTAAAGAATCTTCTTTGGTTGAAATCATTATAGATTCATAAGGAGTTGCAAAAACAACAGGGAGAAGTTTTGTGTATCCATTACCTGGTTTTCCCTAATAGTTATATCTTAAACAATTAGGGCACCAAAGCCCAGGAATTGATACGGCAACAATATGGGTGTGTAGTTCTGCAGTATTTCCCCAATAAAAAAGACCTAAAGAGAAAATAAGCCCTAGCATGATTTTTCAGAATGCTTGTTACCAGCCAGATGGATGCATTTAGTACATGCCTTGCAACACATAGTGGACACATTGACATATTATCTAAATAATATTGACAATACTTAAAAAAATAATATAAATTATAATTAAGCATTGGTGAATACCCAAGCGGATGCCTTTGAATGAGATGTAAATGTCTGTATAAACAGATGAACCTGAGACTTATTGCTGAATGGCCAATCAGAGTACAGACACAATGCACAAAAAACATTCGCTCTTGATAATGAACAGATATGGTTGTGGGTGTTTTTTGTTTTTGGTACCAGGGATCGAACTCGGGACCTTGTAAGGTAGGCAGAGCTCTATTGTTGGACACGAGAGATTAGGACCAATGGTTCTATGGGAAGTGGAGTCATAAGAAATTCTGGCCAGAATTTGAAGTTTAGTGAGTTATGATGATGTTCCAAGAAGATGACATGACTATTTGAAAAAATGTAGATTTTTGCACACAAATAAATGTAGATTTTTGTATTGAAGAAAAGACATCCCCTGAAAATAAGCTCTACCGCATCTTTTGGAGAAAAATAATTTAAGACCCAGTCTTAAATTCTCTGGGAAATATGGTATGTTATGTTGATCCACGTAGCCACAACTGCAATCAACATACAGTACTAGCTGGGCATAGTGGCACTGCAATCCCAGGACTGGGGAGGCTGAGGTAGGAGGAACTTACATTCCAGGCCAGCTTGGGCTACATAGCACATTCAAGGGTTAAATAGTAAGACCCAGACTAGACTAAAAGTATAGAAATAGCTGGGTATAGTGGTGTATAACTATAATCCCAGCTACTTGAAAGGCTGAGATGGGAAGACTGGTTGTGCTTAACAAATTTGAGACCAGCCTAGGCAACTGGACAACACAGGAACCCCTTCTCAAAAAAACCCTAAAAACAAAACAAAAAACCAAAATGCCATAGCCACAGATTTCTAGCATGCTGCCCTTTACTATTATACCTAATACCTTCCAGCACTGTCCCTACTCTTGGTAACATAAATCTGTTCTACATTTCTATACTTTTGTCATTTTAAAAATGTTACAAAAATGGAATCAGAGTGCATATGATTTGTGATAGGCATTTTCTCACAGAATAATGCCCTAGAAAGCCAGGCATGGTGGTGCATGTCTGTAATCTCAGCAGTCGGGAGGCTGAGGCAGGAGGATCACTGTGAGTTTGAGTTCAGCCAAGGGTACATAGTGAGCTTAAGGTCAGCCTGAACTACAAAGCAAGGCTTTGTCTAAAAAACAAAAAAAAAAACCAAAAAAGTCCTTGAGATCTACCCATGTTGCAGAATCAACAGTTTTTTTTTTTTTTTTTTTTTTTTTGGTTTTTTTTTTTTTTTTTTTTTTTTGTGGCATTGATGTATCATAGCTTAACCAGGCACCCACTGAAAGATATTTTGGCTAAATACAGTTTGGGGCTATTCAGAATAAAACTATTTGCCAGGCATGGTGGCGTACACTTGTAATCCCAGCACTTGAGAGACAGAGGCAGGAGGATCACTACTAGTTCAAGGCCAGCCTGGGGTAATATAGTGAGTGAGTTCAGGGCGCGCCTGAACTACAAAGTGAGACCTTGTCTCAAACAACCAAGAAAAAAAAGAATAAAGCTATTTAGCATGCATGAGGCCCCAGGTTAGTACCAAAAAGCAGTATTTATATATAAGTAAATAAAAAATAAAGCTTTTCATAGGGTATTTTCCTAGTATGCACAAGCCCTGGGTTTGACATATTGATCAATAGACTAAAATTAGAAATTCAGAAATAGTGCTATGGAACTACAACCAATTCTTTAGAAAGCTGCAAAAGCACACACACAGATAAGCTCAGTGCACACACACAGATAAAGAATAAAAAGTGTAGAGAGGTGGATGTGGTGGTGGGAGTGGTGGAATCGGTTATCCATACTTTTGTGGCCCTGTTTTTCCTGGCTGAGGTGGCTATTCAAACAGAGGGAACTACAACAGAGGTAGAACGCCTAACAGAGGGAACTATACCCAGAACTTCAAAGGACGAGGAAATAATCGCAGCTACAAATATCAACCTCAGGGCTACCATCAGTGTCAGCAGGGTCAGTTCTGGGGTCAGAAGCCGTGGAGTCAGCATTATCGCCAAAGATATTATTGAATACCCAAATAAAATGAACTGACACATTCCTCCAAAACGCTCCCCCGAAAAAGATAAAAATAAATCTTCATTTCCCTGGGATAAACACCCAAGAGTATAAATACCCAAATGCTGGGATGTGTAGTAAGTCTACTTTTAATTTTGACAGGAACTGACAAATTATCTTCTATATTGGAAGAACCACTTTACTGTATATTCTCATCAGCAATTTATGAAAGATCCAGTTTCTCTGCACCCTCTCTGGCATTTGTTACTATTATCACTATTATTCACCTTAGCTGTTTTTCTAAATTTATTTCCTTAGGTGTTTCGATAGGTATGTAGTAAAATTTCATTCTGGTTTTTTAAATTTGTATTTCTCAAATGATTAAGGATGTTAAACATCATCTTACATTTTTATTTGCAATATGTTTATCTGCTTTAGTGAAGTGTCTATGCACAATATTTGCTGATTTCTTCTAATTAGACTGCCTTTGTGATATTCAGTTTTGAGAGGGGAAGGGGATAAAAAAGAATTGAGATGTGTTATGTACATGTATCAACTCCCCACAATGGATGTAATCATTATCTACTGTAAACATGTATGAAAAAATATTGAAAAAGCCCCTTCAGTTTGAAATTTCTTTATGTATTTCAGAATTACTGTAGCAACACAGTAAGTCTTATAATTGTGTCCAGTGACTGCTGGAAACTGGATCTTTCATAAATTGCTGGTGGGAATATAAAAAGGTACTGCCAGTCTGGAAGATAATTTATGCAGCCATATGAACCTGTTTTATTATGAATTTACGGTTGATCCAGCACAATTAAAAAAATACTATCAATCCTATGAAGTGCTTTTACAGCTTTCTAAAGAATTGGCTGTAGTTCCATAGAACTTTCTGCATTGCTAATTATAGTCTATTGGTCTATATGTCAATATCTACACTAATACCACACAGTCTTAAATTAGTGTAACAACATAATAAGTCTTACAGTTAGTTTTAGTGACTGCTTCTAGTTTATCCCTTTTTTTTATTGAGGTTATTGGTACAATCTAGGTATACAATACAATTACATTCATCATTGGGATTCTGTACCTTTACATAATAGGTCTTGATTCTCATTTTTCCCCTTGTCCCTGCCCTCCCTTCACTCCCTCCTTCCCTCCCCATTTACAAACACTTTCTTTCCATTTTTTCAGTTTCTCATATTTTTTCCTCTCCCTTATTACCTTTCCCCCACCCTTCCCACTTTCCTTACACCTTTAGCCCTTTACTTCCTATTTCACATTATTAATTATCTCATTAGGATCCTGTGTACTATTATAGTTTTTCACACCAAAGAAACTATTCGGTATTTCAGT